TATCCCTTAAAGTGAAAGCTGCTCACTGCTTTTTCTCAAATTTAATGATGTGAGGAATATTTTCATTAGTCTGTCCCATACCAAAAAAAAAAAAAAATTAGGGGCACTATTAATAACATCTTTAATAGTACAGTAAGGAATATTTCATAATGATTTATAAGTGATTTAATAGATATCTTTTATAAGTTGCACAAGACAAAGGTCCTCATATTTTAAGCTGTAAGTACAAGAGAAGAAAAACACTTTTTCCTCTTAAAGCATTATCAGAATTCTTTTTTCTCTCTAATTCATTTGAGATGTATTTAAAAGAAGTATCGAAGAAGTTCATTAATTACTTTAGCTCTCAGAATGGGTGTGTCATTGTACTTTTGTAGGTTGTTACTGACACACAACCCATGAAAATTATGGCAAAAGTATATCATTAGTGCATATATCAAAGTATCTTCTTTCCTTCAAGCCTCGACCATGTTTTAAGTAACTGCACGATACAATGGCTCATTGGAGGGGCTGGTTAAAGTACTTTGTGAGTGCAGTGCAGTGTTTCCCTTTGTCCGGCTAGAGACTGTCCAGCTTGGTCAGTCATGCCTGTAAAAACCTAGATTTTTGATATTCAGTTCTTGCAGTAAACAATCTTCAGCAAAAAAAATCCAATGGGCCTCAGGTAATCACACTGACTCAAGGACTTTCCCATGATATTTCCTGCTCAAACAGCCTAATGTTGTGCCATTACTAATAAAAAACCCAGATATTTTCCACATTGTGTGCAATATATGACTATACATACTCTCCTTTTCATTTTCTCAAAGTGAAAAAGGAACAAACTATTTTATTGTTCCAGCAAAATTAAAATGTAAGTAAAATTGATTTATTTTGGGTAATTCTCTGTAAACAGTTACTTTTGGTTTAGATAGTGAGTGTTAGTTCAAGTAAATAGCATCCCCAGCTGATAAAATTGATAACAACTTTTGGAATATGTAAGAATATTGCATGAAAAGAATTTGAATTTTAAAATGTCCTTTAAATATAATCCAACTTGCTTACTTATATCTTTTAATTCTTAAGTCATATTTATTAAGCAATTATGGCATACTGATTGGGCTTCAAATGACAATTTAAATACTTATATTTAAAATTTTGATTTTGACCTGTGTACAGATTTCTTATCCAGTTCTCTATAGTTTGTGTAAACTTGTTTTGTTTGCTATAATGGCCATATATCCGGTATTTTTAACTGATAGGGCCATTACATTATTTTCCCTCTTAGATATGCAAACATCCTTGGGACATGACACAGACATCTTATTCCCATTCTCAGTACAGACTAAAATAGATATGAAGGCTTGATATTCAGGTTTTCCAGTTACGTCATTGAGTAAAAATGTGCCGTTACCTGTTTCAAAATGTGATTTGATTTGCAAAAACATTTTTAAATCCACATCACATATATCATCGTGACCCTCAAAGGATTAACAAACATGACATAACAGATAACGCATGGTCATCCTTATAAAGACAGAGGTGTCCTGCAGAGATGCAGGGTATTTATTTTTGATTTTGGAATCCTTCTATTGGGCCAATACCCACTTCTGAAAGTGCAACTTCAAGCAGTAGTTTTTACCCCCTTTTGCTTTCACAGCTACTGCATTTCATCTTAGGAGCTGCACGATTTCCCCGCTTTTTATTTTTTTTAAAGTTAAGCAGTGGCTTGGCCTCTGTGTCTATCAGTTCATCAGCCCAGCAGTTGGTGTGAGTAGATTCGCTTTGATGGATCATTAAGTGAATTGTGCTCTATTTTTTTTCTAGGTTCCGCAAGTGCTGAGTCACCAGTCATGGAGGGCAACAAAAGAGAGGATAGTCTACCACAACAAGTACACAGCCAGATAAGAGATTAACACCACTACCCCTGCTACAATAGTTCTGGCCATGGGCTCTTAACATTGATAATACACTGGAGTGAATGAGCAGACTGGACCCAAAATGGATGAAAAAAATCGCTGTGCCCAATTTTTTTTTCAAAGTCTTCGATGGAACACTTATTATTCACTTTTAATAGCTATTGACACACAAAACAACTGAAAGTAATAAAAGTGCTCTTTGTCATTTGTCACAAGATATCCAAGAAAAGCATTTTTTTTCCAGCAGCCCTTCTAACTATAGCAGTATTTTGTGTATAAATTATATAACTAGACTGGCAAGCAATCGGGCCCATATTAACCTTGCTCTCCTGCATTTATCACCTGAGAGTAGGAACCATATTACATGGTCTGATCACCTGTGATACCTGTCCACCATAGCCATTTACCTAAAATTCCATCATTCTGTCTAAATTATTTGATAATTCTACTGGTAAACCATGGTTTTATGGGTGCACATCCTATCATATATATGATTAATGTCAATTAAAATGGATTCCTGTTACAATCAATATCCCATGGAAAAGTACTTTTACTTTCAATTGGGCTGTCTACATGACATTTCATGGCTCTAGGATTGCTAGGCCCATGGATTCATCTTTACAGTCATATTTACTCTAGGAGATGGAAAATTATTCCAGTTACCTATCTTTATGTCTATCTAATTGTCCTAATATCTTAGTTGTGTGATCATACTTTAATTTCAATTTTTAGGTTGTCTTCATTGTGGTCACTTGTCAGAGAATAAAAAAAAAAACCTGAAAAGGATGCCAAACCTTATCCTGATAAAAGGGTGTAATGTTCTTGGTCTGTTACTCATTGAGTGTACTGAGATAACTATAATTTTGGCAATAAAACAATGCCTCATACTTTTATTACATAGTTCTTAATGTCGTCTTTGTTAACTTTTTTATTTGAATAAAATATTCTTTTAATTTCAATTTTGTCAGTGTGGTGACACATGAAAAACTGGAGCCCACCTTAACAGGTATATCTGAGGCTTTTGCTCCTAAAGGAACTGTATGCTTATTTCATCAGCGTTCTAGTTTAATATCAAAGAATAAATAAAGTGTTATCTTTTTCAAAAGTGCTGATCTCATCTTTATTTTTGTTGAGTAATTACTGCGTAGATGTTCCACATAGAAACAAGTACTAGTAAACATCACTGCAGTTCCCAGATCACTCATTTTTTAGACTTTCACCTCCAAATAACACAATTTCATCACATGCAAATATCACATTTCTTAGTACAGCATGAGTAGATTTTTGTCACACCATCCTGAGCATGACTTTAAGTTTTATATTCGGTTACATAAGACTGCACTGACACTAGAAATGCTCTGAATAGCAAATGGGATTGTTTTGAAATATATGAGGAAAGGGAGATCTCCAGTGATTCTGTTTTATGTGCCTCAAATTTATCATCCTGAGCAAAATAATGCCAGCCCATACAAAGACTGTTATTCCCATATATTATTGTAAGTGACAAGGCTCTTCCTGGGCCTAGCTAAAGAAAGGAAACACTTTCAACTGCCAAGAACGAGTGCCAAGAAAAGAAGTTCCTTAAATAAGATTTTTCCATTGGCTAAACAACAAATTTATTATTGTTACCTTATCAAAATGTTTTTGGACCCCGAATTTAAAAGAAAAAAAATCAAGAAGTGTTCATTGGGTTCTTTAAAGAAGTGCAGAAAAGATTTCATGTTCAACAGCAGTGGATCATATTCAACATTTAAGAGATCTGTGAAATATCTAACCAGACATGCATACATATCTATTAATCTATAGCTTTTGTAAACCAGGAGTCCTTAATCTATTTACAACTGAATTAGATCAAAATATTAGGGGAAAATACATAGGGCAATTATTATCCACCAGCAGTTACCTAGTATGGCAAAGGGATCAAACATCGTTGCTGCTGCATTACACAATACACCAATGGTTTATTACAGTCTTGCCTGGCCTGGGTGAGAGCATGGTAATCTTTGGCAGTGGGAGATAATGGAGAAGATGCCTCTCTGAACACAGACTGTTACCACATGGGAATGTAACAATGCACTGTGCTATAAACTACCACGCCGCTCTGCATATTTGTTATTTTCTCAAATATTCTGCAGTACTACATTATTTATTCATATTAAAACCGTCTAGGTCAGACATCAACACGGGCTTTAATCCAAGGTGGAAATCAGCCTAAGTTAATGAAAGTTGAAATGCCTTTTGCATTCTGTAATTTAACAGGCTAAATGAAAGTGTTCCTTGGATTTGATCAATAATCTGGATAGTAAATACTGCTTGGATTAATCTTGATTTAGAAGCAAGTGCCCAAGAGATAGAGCATCATTCTTTTCCTTCCCCTGCATCTCTTCCAACACAAGTAGTGGCCTATTGCACAGCACCTACCAAAAACACTGCAAGTAGCCATGGGGTAAACAGCACCTTTCTCAGGTAATAAGAACACCATGTACAGCCATACTAAGTTAATTTGGACAAACTAAGAGAGCTGGTCCTGGCCTAGTCTTTTTTTTTTCATGGAAGACTTGAGTAAGCTTAGCAAAAGTCGCTGAGATTGCCAAATTTGGAATTGGCCCCATTTCATGTTGTAAATCTAGTAAAAGGAGATCTAGTACTGAAGATGAAATATTTCAGGTGCCTTCCATCCTTTGGCCTACACCTTTATTTGTCAATCCCCAACTAGATGCTCCTCTGATTACTAATAATCCACATGGGATTCAAATCCAACAACAGCTGCAGTTTTAAAGACTTCCATAAACTTCTCAGCAGGAAAAAATGCTATCAAAAATTCATAAGCCACAATTCTGTGTTAAGATTGAAAGGCAAGAGAAGTAGGACAGCTGCGTACTCCCATATATAGGAAGCTACAAGCTTGGTTAATTTATATTCACAGTATAGCTTAGCCTGTTGGAGTAGAATTACCAGACAGATAGTGAAAATACCACAGTGCAACTCATCAGGAGCCCCTGCCACTAATATAACACAAAATACCAAAAGCCTCAGCCTTGGTACAGTAAATGATTCTTTTTACAGAAGTGTGTTACACGATAGACATCATATAAACAGGTGAGGTATTTTGAAATACAACTTTTATTAATGCCAGAAAAATAAAACTCTTACAATTCTTTTTTTTATACTTTTTTTCTTACTCTCCACAAATATAATATTAGTTACAGGCTCTTATTAGCTGAGCCTAACAAAATAAAATATCTTTGTATTTAACTTTAAACTCTGCATCTTAATCTTTACTTTGGGTTCCATAGTCACACACCTACATACACAGAATTGTGATAAATAATAATATTAAAATAGAAAATACTAAACTATGGTTGTGCAACAAATTAATTGTTGTCAGTTTTGCTATTCATACAAATAATATGCATTAGAAAGCATAAATAGCATTTTGATCATCACATTCACTTGCCTTTTAAGGCTTCATTGACAATATAGAATAAAATAAAGGTCTATTTTTCATTGACTATAAAATACATTTGTATGGGTAAAATATAAATATTTAAAACCAAACCTCACAATCTGGAAGTCCCGTTCTTAACTGAATGACTTGGCGGATGATTAAATAATTAAGGATGATGAGTAAAGGAAATGCATGAAAAAACAACTTGGCAAAACAATCATACAGACACCATACATAAAGCTCCAACCCAGCTAAACCATATACAAATAATCTTTAAAGTGAAACAAGTATAATAATAAAATTTTTGACATATCTTTAAATCTTTCATATGAAACAAGAGTACTTTGTAAGAATAAAATATTGTAGCTGTCTGTTCTTTAATATTTATCTTAATACTTTAACATTTGTATAAACTCTATTGGTTTTAGTCCATTATCAATTTGCAATAAGTTTAGAATAAGTATTTATACCATAATCTCATATAATGCCTGTAATACACTGAATGCAAGAGTATCCATTATGAAATAATGCGTATAGCCTGAGTAGGAACTTGCTGACAAATGGGGCACCGACGTTTAGTGTCAGGCTTCTCGACAATGAGATTGGCACACTCCATACAAAAGAGATTGTGACCGCAGGGCACCAAAGCTGCGACGACATCACTGTCGGAGCACACAAAACAGCTGCGTCGAGGCAATGCATTTGTATCGACTGGACTAGTGGAAGTCGCACTAGAAATGCTGCTACTTGAGGTAGCGGGGAAGCCATTGGTAGGTAATGGAGCAAAATTTGGCATGGCCGCCAGCCCACCATTGAGAGGATCGCTCCTCATACGTCGCACAGACTGGTGTTGTTCCGGGGAACTGGAATCCGTGAGAGTGGGCGAGAGACGTGGTGTAACAACTCCACTCACACTGCTGCTGCGATGTGGCAAGGATGCGGAGGGCGAAGTTTTGCCAAATAGGGGTGCTGACGGCTCCCCGAGATCAGGCCAAATGGAAGCAGGAAGTGGCACTGGATCAAAAGATGGGGATCCAAACCCTTCATCGTTGTCATAGATATTCGTGAGACCATTGGTGAAACCATTGCAACCAAACCCGTTGAGATTGAATTCGTTCAATTTGGAGGTGGTAGACGTAGTACCATTAATTGGGGGTGGTGGGAAGCTGAAGATACTGCCTTCCTGTTCATTTTGCAGGTTATTGCTGCTGGTATATGAGCTGAATGCAGAATTGGGATGATGCTTATAGAAGGCAGCAAAATCATTCATTTCATGGAAGCCTGAATCAATACCATTTGTGTGAAAGTCGTTCTCATCATTAGTAGGATCCATAGGCACACCACCTGTGCGCATTGCAATGTGGCTTTCTATTTCCTTCTTAGCCTTCTCCACATTTTCTGGTAGCCCTGTAACTTCAAATATGGGTTCTTTGTCACGACTTGGAGTGACGATATATGTGTGGGTTTGCTGTTGGATTCTTTTGATGGTAGCACCTTTGGGGCCAACAACTAACCCAACCACACGATATGGCACTCGCACTTGGATTGTCACTTGACCTGGCGTGGTGGGACTAGGGGGGCCGGGGGGCGTTGGGGTTCCTGTTCCAGTGGTAACATTGCCATTGCTGTTATTACGACGACTGGCACGAATTTGGCTAAAATGCTCACCAGCAGAGAGAATTTCACGTTTGGCAGCCTCTACATCTTCCTTCCTTCCTGTTACAACAAAGACAGGCTCCTCGCCTCGCACCGGAGTTTTAATGTAAGTGTTGGTTTTGGCTCGAAGAGCTTTGATTTTGCACCCTACAAGACGAAATGTAAACAAAGGGTCATTGTATTTTCATTTCAAGCATGACGTGTTCGATCAAAACACTCCCCCTATTTACATATCACACGGCCTCTTATCAACTACGAAACAATAGCTTTGTGTAGCATTAATGTGATAACTTGTCAGATTTAAACGTCAAAGTGAACATAGCTATCACAGAAAACCCACCTTGTCTGCCGACAATTTCTGCAACATGTTCTGAACTAGGGACTGGCACACTTTCGGTAACATTGGCGCTTTTTCTCGACCCTTTGTTTTCGTCGAAAGGCGAGTTCAGACCTCCGTCATTTATCCCTAACATAGAGAGCTCCAGTGCGATCTGTAGTGCTCTTTGGTCTTCGAGACCGCCACCGTTCGTAGATACATCTGTTAACAGACTAGCCGGCATCTCTGGACTACAAATACTACTAAAATCTATAAAAATATAGCCTTTAAGACGTTTATATACATTAGGCCGTGCTGCTACGGCGCGGCTGTTGAACTCTGCCTCTTCCTGCTCAAATACTGGGGCAATATGGTGCGATGATGTCATTTTCCCCAGAATCCTTTGCGCACAAAGACATTTGAGCCAACTCATTGGTCGAGAGAGCAGACGGTGGGCGTGGCTTTGCAGCACTAGGCCATGTGCCATTTGACCCTATTTAGGAAAGTACACCTGGCGGTATATGTTTATGCATTTTTCAACAATCCACTGAGAAATAAGCACCTGAATACCAAAATGGGCGATCGTGCCTGCACCTCACTATCTATCAAGACACCAAATACTAAAAGACATTGGATTAAAAACCATTTTTCATGATTCATCTTAGAGTTCGCAAGTCACCACCCAAAATAGGTTCTTATTCAGTCTACGTGCCCAACAGAGTAATTTGTACTAAACAAGTTTTTCTGCCTCGTCAAGCGACCGGTGAAAGTGAAACAAAGATAGTCTTCAATAACGAAAAAGAAGTATTGTGCAATGAGATGATATCTTAGTTCACATCTGACAATAGATCGAAACTAATCAATTTTGCCTCACAAAGATAAAATTGATCCATTGGCAAACAATGGAATCACTCTTTCCTTTAAAATGCTAATTTCCATAATTCACGAGGTTACTATGCCTTTGTCTCTTTGTTCTCAAAGCTCCTTTTGACCAATCAATTTCGAACCAATCTTTCGTTATTATGCGTATAACTTGATATGCAGTTAGCTCATACTGTACATGTAAGAAAGCACACATATATTTTTTAGTACCCTGGTACCTCCACTGTGTCACTTATATGCTGCACTTATTACAATGTTTTAAAATGAAATGTCATAAAATCTTTGTATTGATACAAAAAGAAACTTTTATTCAACTGATTAATATATATATATATATATATATATATATATATATATATATATATATATAAGTACATCTTTTCGTATTTTTAAGTCGATCAAGCAAAATTTTGATTTGGTATGATAGCACGTGTCTATTTATATGACCCAAAATTAACATGGGGTGAGGGCCCACTAACAAAGAAATATTGGGGCGAGGTTTGCATTAACGTTTCTGTTAGTGGTGAACTAAATTTGACTCCTTTTTTTCAATGGAGTTAACCCCTATGCCTCCTGAACACCGAAACAAAAATACATAGAGAATGATTTCATATTGAAAAGCAACTATATATACCATATTTACTGTAAATAAATTCCATTTTACTACTATATACTGGAGCTTTTCTTCTTTTTCAGCTTCATTTACCTTGTTTATTGTTTTTCTAAATGCATTTAAAAATATTGTGTGGGGTACCTGGTTGGCTGTTATGTTGTTCTAAAAATAATTTTCATGTGCACCTATAGTTTTGTATCTTTTCATTATACTTTTATTGTAATAAATACTATTAATTAAATAGAGTAAGCACTAAAGAAACACAGGAAGTTTTTTATATTAATTTTTTTTTTTTAATTTTCGAAAAATTCTCAATACTCAGGCATTGAATGGTGGGCGTTTCAAATAGCTTTTGAAAAAATATGGATGGTACTGATATATTTTTTCCTGGTTTATAACAGTGTAGCTTAAAAGTTTGCCATTTAAAAGTTAAGAAAACACCATACTGATCATTTTTTACTTGCAATTGAATTTTTATGGTGAAACAAAATAACAGTAGTTTTACAGGATTTAACACAAAGAAATGCACTGAATTAACTTTAACTTTTTAGAAAAGTATAGTGCCACAAACAATTTTTCCTCCAAAACTGGACAGACCTGTGTTTCTGCAGTTGTTAGGTTCATTGGTCCGGTAAAGGGTAGATGGGTAGAAAATAAAAGGACAGAAATTCATAGCTTTTTTTTTTTTTTTTGAAGGTCTCCTGACTTTTTTCGCCTCTCATAAGAATATGCGTTGGTCCACAGGTAAATTTTGAATTATTTTTAAAGCTTTGACCCTATCTACCAACAAAATAATTGGGAACAGAACCTTTGGAGCAGCTACATAGCATACTGCCAATGCACTCTGCCAGGTAAATCAACCAAACTTTGTACATTTCTGCGTTATTCAGTCAACATGGAACATCAAAATGCAAAGCGTATTATCTGTTAAACATTTGAAATAAATTTGATTAATTTTAATAAAGTTCTAAAAAGATGATTGGGTCTTAGCTTTGTATAGAAAGATATAATTTATGGGAAATTTATCTTGAAAAAATTAAAAACCTTTATTTAGGTACCTAGGCTTATAATTATATTTCAAATCCCTACTATTTTTAAAAATTTTATTTACTGCTCAAACACAAATTTTGCACAATTACCAGCAAAGAAAATAAAAACTTTGCCTGTTACCACTCATTTAGCTCAAGTGACGTTAAGAAAATGTCTTGACAGTCTTAAACATAATCTTTCCAGTATTTTGGGATAATGGGTCAATAGATGCAAGTTGGTTAATTCTGGAAATTGTTTAAGCCCTTAAATGTTTCAGGGATGGTTCTGTCTAAAATCCCACAAATTGTCACAATTAACAGAATTTTGTCATGATGTTTTAAATGGACCACACAATCAGCCTAATGGGTCACTGGAGACCATACAGTTTGTTGCTGAACTAATGGAATTTCTTTGTTTAAAACAGATATTTGACTGGTTAATGAGGTTTTGGACTACTAGGCACATTGATAAATTGGTATCTCAGTCCACTGATGACTGCAGTGCAAAAAAGGATAACGCACTCTTCTCAGGATGTCAGGTGTGAAATGGACCTATGTGGAAATAGGTGCCCCCCCTTCTCAACTTCATTTAAAATACCACTTCATACATGTAGCTATATTATATAAACATGAATGTCTTACAAAAATGAATATCTTAATTTCTTTGAGCAAACTGGCCAAGCCCAAAATTCTGCTACAATGAATTAACCCCGTCACATTTCTGGTGAATGAATCCAAGAATAATCTTATTGCAACCTTTAATTTTCATCATTTATCAAGAATAGAACCAGAGACAAAAATATGCAAACCTCAAAACCATCATTTTAACTTCAAAGGGGGAATACAAGAGAATGACATTTTTTGGCTCTGTAGTTTTGCTTCAAGAATGGTTGTAATCAAAAATCACTTTTTTTATTTATTAATGTATGCTGTATATGCATTTTTGCCCACTTCATCCTGTTTACAATTTTTCAGCTTAAAGAAAGCTGCTGTTCATTTCATGTTACTTTTAAATTGGCTACAGTTGATGAGATGCTGCTACTGCATTCTCATGCTATTCATAAAGCCTGAGTAAAAAACCTCTCAGCACATCAATTCCAACTGTTATGAAGCAATTTTTATAGGGCTATTCATTAATAGCAATAGGTAAGGTCATAGAGGCCAGATTACCCATTCATATTACAAAAAGAGCTGCAAGGAATAAAGAGATATCGAAACGCCAAGGCTTTATTATTATCAGCATCTGAAGACATTCATGAGAGAAAAAAAAAAATGCAGCAAGCACTAAGGTCAAGTTGCCAGTGCTGTTTTCCCATCCCATGGAGCATGAAATGAAAGTCTTTTTATTCATCAAACTAACTACACTCTGTCTGAGGCATCTTTATACATAACACTTATCAACATTTCTTACTTGGTTTAAACAATTATCTAAGGTGGAATAATTCCTTACAGCTAAGATGAATTGGATAACATAACATTGTTTCAGTTTACACCTTAATTGCTGAATTAAATTGGTAATTAAGCCTCAGGTGTAACTGGGCACACCTCAAAGAATAAGACTGTTCATTAGACGTACATCAGATACTGCACTGCATGGACGTTTAAATTTGCAAGTAAACTAAGAGATCTTATGAAAGGCAATTAAGACTTTTCCATAACCAAGAATATGAAATCTTTTTTTATATATCTCATGAAAAATGATGCACTAAAAAGCACTGGGCATGACGAAGAAATGAAAAGAAATAAGAAAACATGAGACATTTTGGGCCTATTTCTGTTTTGTTTTACTACTGAACGTGTTTTTGGCCAAAAGATCTTCCAGGCACACCTTCACCCCAATATTTGTGCCAGGGGGGGAACAATGGTCAATCATGGCTATTCATTCCCCCAGTTTTCCACCATTTCAAAGCACATAGTAAGAGCCAGGTAAAAATTGACACAGCACACTCAAGTGGCTGGTCAGAAGACTCCTGCAATTAAGCATCTTATTTTTGAAGAATGTACTCTTCTTGAAACTCAATAGTAAGATCAATCTCATTAAATCAAAATCAATGAGTTTCTCTGTCCACAGATGGCACTGGCACACAATGTGAAGGGATTATTGAGGATTTGTGGAAATGTTTCCATTTTGGGTAATCCATAAAATGTTAAGGTTCAGCTCATAAAAAATGTTACATAATAACAACCCATGTTTTCTATGTAAGTATTATTTTTTAAGTTTTGGTTCTATGTGAAAATACATATGAAGAGACTTCACAAAATGACAGTTTATTATCATCAAAATCAATAAGAAAAATCACACCCTTGGGGGATTGCAAACAAAGCATCCAATAAGAAAACTTGAAGTGACAGTGAGGATAAAGAATGGAGACAATGGGGAATACTTTAATTCTTTTTAAAGAATATCTCATATTAACAGTGTATTGTTACAATGCTTTTTCTAAATCATAACATTTCCACTTAATTTTCACCAGTTCATCTGGCTCTCTCACTCCTTTCCTAAATGACTTTTCCAATATAACAGTTACTCTAATGCCTGCGAAATGCTTGATTACAGAACTATCAATGGTGGCTGCTGGGCTACAATGCGGCCACAGATGCCTCAGTCCAGACACAAACTAGAATTCAATAAAATACTATAAATGTGGTGGAAGATGTTATTTCCTTGTGCGAAAAAGCCGGTTTTCCCAGCAGTTGTTCAAAGTTGTAAGCCAATTTATCTGTAGCCACTTCATGCTCAAACCATTGCACCGCATCCCCTTCCAGCAAATTACCTTAAAAAGATAACTTGTTTACATTGAATTAATTCTATCAAAGCAATGGGATAACAGCTTGTGGAATACAATGTGATTCAAGATGACAAATTCACATCTCTTCGCTGACACTGCATGGAAAGTCCATCAGTGCTATAACTCATTCTATGTCTGGGAATCAATGTATTGATTGCACATCTGTGCACACTGCCTAGATAGGAAATGCTCCAGTCAGATGCATTTAATCACCAAGATTCACTGAAACTACCAAGTGACTCAAAATTTTTAAATCATACTTCTAAAGAAAAAGAAAGATGTATAATATATCAATACACTCAAATTTTCAGGTATTCGTTTTTACAGAAACTATCAAAAAGTTAGGAGCAACTTGTCAGAGAATAATACTGCTCCAAATATATTTAACAAATACTTAAACTAAGCATATATTAACCTAGATTATATATGCTACCATGAGGCTGCTCGACTTTTTTTTTTTAATTTAATATTGCTGTTGGCATGTCTTAGACCTAATTCTGGTGTACTTTGAGAATCAGGATCCACCCACAACTACATTCATGTACATTTGCTTGGCAAGATGTAAAAAAATGATGTGTCATTTGCTGAAACTGTTCATATTATCTGTGACAGTTGTTTGACAGAATACATTTTTCCTTTATTCTCAACTGGATCTCACTTTAATTTTCTTGCAATTGACACAGGAATGCTGCACTGCGTATACTAAATTCACATTTACCATGCTCCCGCCTCCTACAGTGAATATATCCATCGTAATATCAATCAATTATAAAATAAAATGTGAAATGTGCATACTTATCAGACTTCCTATTTCACTTGATGACAAAGTCCGTAATGGATAAACCCACACACACATGCATTATTTGCAGCTGATCAGGACAATTTATCAATTAAAAGTTATTAGTAATCATTCCATGCAAAAGAACATCCAGAGATATATTTACACTATCTCTGCATCTAAACTGCCATCTATAATGAGGTTCAAGTCAGATACATGTATAAAAATGGAAATAACTGAAATGTTATGTGGCTGAGCAATTTGTTTGTCAGATGGCTACTACTTAGACATCTCCCAAGAGACTGGAGCATCACAGAGTTCCAGATCTTGCTGAGTTCTATCTGTGTGACTCAGGTGCACACTCATCCTTGCAGCTATCAAATTACTGTTCTAGCATTTTCTGTACCTGTTTGCAAAATGAGAAATCTTATAATTTTGCATTCTGAGAAGAAGCTAACATTTTGTCTCTGTTTGGTCATGTACGTGTTGTTTTAAACTAGGACCAACCTAGTTTTAAAAGAGTTAAACTCTTAAGCATATTTCTACTATTGAACTCTGCAAAAAACTTTCTGCCTCGATCATCAGATAAACTGACGGACAGAGCCTTGGATGGACCTTAAACATTAACTTAGACCCTGTACACTGGCATTTTGATGGCAGGCTCTTGAACCAAATCCTCAAACACAGGCTACAATTGACAACATATATACAAACTCAAATATAAAAAGGAAATTTCTACCCATCTGAAGAACAAAGGATAGCCTGTGAAGTGGCTCTGTAAGATCTACATAAGCAAACAAAAGATAAAGGACAAGCTTTTTTATTTTTTTCCTTTCTTTTCTTTCTTTTCCTTGTTCTGTAACTGCCGTGTGGTATTGCCCTGGTGCAGTGAAGCTAATTAACTTCAATAATCAATCTTATGAGTCATGAATTAAGTCATACCCAAAGCATTGACTGTGTTCACTATCTACAGCAACCAGGTCACAGCTCTTGATCTTTACTTCGTCATCCTTTGCTGTCACCTGAGCTGCTTATCTCAATGAAACAAACACAGAAATAACAGAACCAAAAAAATACAATTCATGCCATGCAAGTTTTGAACATAATTAAGCGAATTAAATGTTTGCCAGATAATATAGAATTCTCATCTCCTAAATCCTGCTTTTAAAGAATCAAGATCAAGCTGCCACTTAAGATTGCTTTGTCACAAGTTTCAGGGAGAGAAAAATCAATGTTTCTTTGAAATTTAAGTGTTTGCTGTTGCTTTTGCTCTATCTCTTTTATATCCTGTGTAAGACTGTGTGAGATTTCCCACATCAAATTTTCTCTGACACATATCACCTAACTGGCTGCAATTCAAAGTACAAACAAATTTGAATACTCTTCTCTCAAGCAATTTGAAGGGGCAAAACATAGTGGTTAAAATGATTAAAACAAAACAAAACAAAACAAAACAAAGTTGTGCTGGGAAAGTGATTGAAATCTTTTAACATGTATATCATGCAGCTCATCCCAATAACACTGTTCTCCACAATTAGTGAGTATCAAGTAATCTTTGTATGCTTATATGGCATTCTGAGATGTGGCAAAATTTATCTCCCACCTCTTTGGGATAAGATGCTGTGGAATTGAATACTCTGCAGCCAGCCAGCCACTTGTACAGCCCCACTAAAAGAAAAGGTAGGCCTCAACAGGAACCATTTACCTTACAGAATGTGGGCCTACATGACCATTCATAACAGAAACAGTAAAAATGATAGACATTTGTCAGAATAGAAAAAAAAAGAAACAGTGAGAAATAATACGCAGAAGAACATGCTACGTGTAAAGCAAGGGTGTATTTAGCAAGGGCAGCAGATCAGAAGATCAATCAAATGAGATTTTTTCTCGTACACGGGCCTGCATTGAAACCAGTTCCAATAACAGGGTGATCAACCTATTAGCATAGCTCAAGATGCACAGCCACTCCGATTAATTCATTTGCTGGAATTGAACATGTCTACATGAACATCCCAAAATAAGATTAGCAGTGTTTGTGTCAAACATACAAGTGCTTGTTATAGAAATAACAAGTTCTACAAACACAAATTTGGTCTTCCTTGCCTGAAGCTTTGAAACTGAACTGCCAACTGCTCACAAAACAAATTTGAAGGGTTCTGTATTTCTTAGGAATGCCTGGAAGAGAGTAATCCAAGTTTTAGGTGGTCAATATCCCTAATCAACCAATCTAATTTTTCTTCTTTACACACTTGAGCTCGGTCAATACTGCCCAAAGTAAGGCAAGTCAGGGATCATCTCAATAGTCTGTTTGAGAATAACATGAGTTTTAAGTTCATATTTCAAAAAACGCAGATACAAATTTCTTGGAATCACATTCTGGTGCAGGATGAATTAAGTAACTGAAAGCTGGGCCAAGATGTAATTTTTCCAACATTTGCAGAATTCACATTTAAATTAAGTTTCAAGAAATATGCTCCTTGTCAGAGCCTCTAAACACCCCTGTATTCATCCTTTCTTGACAATGTTCCAAATGAAGTGCCTTAAGCAGAAATTCCCGAGCCCAAAGATGATCCCCATAGGACAGAGCACGGCTCTTAACCATGTGGAGCATCTGTAGCCCAAGTGGAAGGGACACTACTACCATTATACAATACCCACTGTGGCTTTATCAAACATTGCAGGATCTAACACAATTACATGGCTCTTCAGCAGGCCTTATTCTTGTACTATCAGGCCATGCAACCGCTCATCTTTTTTAATAATTTATTTACGTTGCTTAGAAGTAAAGCACTCGGTCTGCACATATAATTTAATTATAGATAAAATTGAAGATGTTATATGTTCTGTTGATATCTGTCAAGATAAATCCCTAAAAATGCAATCAACCTTAACAAAATTTATAGAATATGGCATCTATCCCATATAATGTTTTTGAATATGACGCCAAGGATGTTATCAGCTTTGAAAAGTTGCTTTTAGTGAACTGAACAAGGAGCTGAACAGATCAGTATCTTACCATTACTGTCATACATTCATCCATAATTTCACTGGTTCAGTATATGCCACTAAACTACTAAGTTTTAATATCCCATTAGTCCTACAAAATTACACCCCAGTATTCCTAGCAGTTGTTCTCCATATCTCCAGAAATGTTACTGGGGAAGTGGTTTGCCATGCTGAGGGGGGCCTAGCATAGAAGAGGGACTGGGTTAGGGATAGGGATGGGAATGCTGGAAGGGATGAGGGGTTGGGGCAGGGATAATGAGGTGGGGATCTGTAGAGGATAAGGGGCCAGGGTATGGATGAGGGTGTGGGGATCAGCTAGGGATGAAATGCTGGGTCAGGATTTGGCGAGGATGAGAGAGAGCAGGTGGAAATGAGGGTCTATGGTAGGGATGTGGGGCTGGGGTAAAATCTGATAGAGATGAGGGATAATGTGGGACGAAGGACTGGGGTACAGATGAAGGGCCATTGATGGGGGGCAAGGACAGAATCTGGGTGATACATATTAGTTTTCTAGGCTGTAGATGCTCTAGAAATGACTTAGAGTTATTACTACATTTCAACTTCTTTTTTTATTCTGTTTAAACATATTCATTTTGAAAATAATTTCAATCTGGATGTCATTTCTGCCTTATTTAGTGATAATGATGATTACAGTTAAAACTATAACTGTTACTCCCAATAGTCCAATTCAGTTACTTAAAAAGTCGTATTAACCTTAATGCCAATAATTCAGGTATGTTTATCATAAGTTAACCTGAAATTATAGTCCCAAACGGCATATTTTTCAAAGAATGTTTTTACACAGGAAGCAACTAAGCCAAGAACAGAGCAATATTATTAAATTTAGGTTTGATTGTTTACACAGTGACCTGAAAGTGCTGTTTGGGGAGAAAATATCAGCTTGGATCCTCATAATATCCGTGAAGGTGTTTGGCCAGTAGATCTCTACCTGGCACATGACATTTTAACTAAAAACTGAATGAAAAAAAATTGCAAGAATATGGGTTTTAAAGGTATACTATACACACTTGAAAATGTCTGGATGTAATATTATTATGTCTAAATATCATGCAAAGGGACTTATCATTTCCAATTCTGACCTTTAAATGATAAAACCCTAAAATAAAAGTACCTGGTTACATTATTTCCTTCTAAAATGTCAGGAAGACTAAGAGGGATGGGCCGAGCAATGATTTGCAAGTAGGAAAAAATAGCCTTTTTTTTTTTAGAAAATCATTCACTTAGTGCAAAAATCACAAACAGGATACCTTAAATAATGTAGATTGCTTTAAAAATCTCTTTAGTTAGATAAAACAACTATCTGATGGAAAAAGTTCACTTTCAGAAAATTTTTATTTCATTTGTACCAGGGTAATAGGACCTATTAATAAATATTATCTGTAGGATTTCTTTGGTCAGAAAATAAGGTGCTAGCCTGTAGATTTATTTTGAGAGTTTCATCGGAATCAAAATACCCTCCTTCCTGCTGAGTGAGCATGTGTTTATCTCACGTGAGGGCAGGAGACCATCAAAAACTACATCAACGGCACAAAGAAATGGAGGGCCACAGAGTTGAGAAAGAAATTGACTTGATTGTCAATTTATTTCTGACTTAAGGCAGTGAACAACTTCCTCACAAAGAAACCACAGAGATATAAAGTGTCTAGAGCCGACGTGAGAGAAGTATGACAGGACAGGAAGCTGATGACAGGGTATGATGGACCATCAGTCATTTTTCTCATAATTAATTCTTTGTAAAAACAGTTAATATTGGCACAGACTGCTCCTTAGAATGCCTCGCAGTTATTAGGAGCATCCCCACAGGGTGAACAGGTTCCACGTCTGGGCCGACACACCACGATAAAATTATCTTCTGACAGAAGTTTGCTAGGTATGAGAATGATAAGGTAATGCACCATAAAGCATCAGTAAACAATTTCCAAAATGTAATGCTTTTTTTTGTTTTTCAAAGAAACTACTTCTGTATTTTGGGGATTAAGACCAATTCTTTATGTAGTCAAAAGAATCTGTAATACACTTGCAAAACAAATTCATATTTCCCCACATGACTTTATTGAAAAAATACCCTGGATGAAAAAATACAACCAACTTCTTCCATAACAATTTATGTATATAAAACCCCTATATTTCCCATCAAGTCATTGCCAACTGTTCCTGTTCTGTATTTGTTAAAGCATGAATAATATTCAAAATATTACTTTTTGTACTTCAAATGGGCAACAATTGTTTTAAAACAACTGTACTTAAAAAAAAGGATTCAAAGAATACAGTTCAAAACTAACAAATGAATAAACCTGAAACTGTTCAAGAATTTTTGTTTATTTTGTGGGAAAGAAAGCATACAGAGCAGTGCATCTCCCCATTACTCTCTGGCCACGCTGAGGTGAAGCCTGCCCCTCTGCTGCAGAGCTGCTCTTCACCTGAAGTCCCAGCAGTCCCCCCATATCCCAGTGTCCTCAGGGGGCCAGGTCCTACTTGGTCTGATTAACTCCAGCCATTTGCTACATTTCCTGCTCCCTGGGCCTTACTTGAACCTCAGCTGCACCATTTTTGGTTGCTATGGCAATCCAGTTTTCTTTAATATTTACGGGCTCTGTTGCAGCTGACACCTTCCTCGGCTTGGCACCAAGATCTCTGAGGAAAATAAAACATTAATTACTTTCTCGGAGAGATAGTTATTTGGACTCAATAACTGCCTGTTGGCTCTTTGAGGCAACAGTAAAATTGATACAACTCCCAGATGGCAGTGACAAAAAATAATGAGGAAGAAAGAAAAATGCGACAAAGTAATAAAAATGACAGTTACGTGTGTCCTGTTCCTTTCTGTCTCATGACCCGCCTCTTTATTCATTTTCAGAACATGTAATCTAATAAGAGTTTCATTAGTTTTAGCTAGGAACATAACATCCCATAAACTACATGTTGTCAGAGGATGGGCACAGATGTCCTTGATGAACAGTAGCAGAAAAACATGATGTAACTAACCTAAGAGAATTATACTGTTGCAAATCATTTGAAAAAAAGTTCCCTACGTCTCTTCCATCCCTCCATCTAACTTATTCAAGCTTGTTTCTCAATTCTTCCTTTACGCAGTGCACCCTTACTGCAATACATAAAGTAACATTCACACACACACACACACACACACACACACACACACGTGCTCGCAGCCAAGCAAACACATCCTCATTGGACCGCAGCATTAATTACTTCTATTTTCTCAATGACATTCTAAAATATCTTTTTATGTCTTAGCATGTCATGTATGTGTTAAGTTGCATGCAGACACGTTATCTGTCACTTAAAACAAGTGCTGGAATTGATATGGGAAGTTGCTGCTGGAAGGACACACAATCCATACAGTGACATTGGTATAGATTGTGTGCTTGTAACTGAGTAACCACAAACCAAAATGGGCCCATAGGCCCATAGTCGGGGGTGGGGGGGTGGGGGGGTGGGGGGTTCAAACAAATCACTCTTCTTGCTGGGAAAAGGTCTGCTCTGGGCAAAATCTGATCTAGGTACACGAAGGTTTCATGGTATAAGGTACACTTATTCAGAAAAACAACACTCCCTTTGAAATTGCTGGCAAGGGTCTGCAAAATAAAAACTCACATGAGCATGTTTACAGCTCTCCATTCATAACAACATTCAAGAAGATGTGATCAAGATATCCAATATTTCCACAATAAGCTGATGAATTTCTTCAAGCACATAGTTATTTTTAAAGAAAGATCTCCCACTGGGTTTTAGAAAAAAGGACTGTAATGACCCTTCACGAATCCAAGAACATTTCATGATTGAAAAAAATAATAATATGATGAGGTATTTCATCTGCAACAGAGTAATGCCCAGCAGAAGGTCATAAAATCGACTTAAACAAAATTACGTCTAACTTACCAGTGATGTGCACTTCTTGCAAACTGATTTGCAAGTCATGGAAAAAATTTGTAATCTAATAATAAGCACAACCATGCCAAGCAAGGCTGGAGAGCAATATTTCTTGTATGAGACGTTTATTGAGAAAAAATGTTTCCCCAAGTTCTTATTACCACCGAATTGTGCCTATTACACTAAGAAAATTTTAGGGGATTCTTTTCAGTCTGTACATTCTACTTAAACAAATATTTTTCTAATTTTTTTTTTCACAGAGATGTAATCACCATTTTTGCCCGTGGAGATTTAATAAATTAGTAAGACAAAGATTATATTCTCTGAATATCCAATGAAAAAAGTGGGTGAAAGTAAGTATAAACTAGGCCAAAATGAACAAACTAACAAAAACTTAAAACAACATTACGCTTGAAGGTGACTTATCAAATTATATAATTTAAAAAAAAAGAAGAAAGTGAAGAAAACAAAACTATTATTCAAAAAAGAAATACAGTTGAGTCTTGACTGAAACGTTTTCTTGAGTACAAAGACAATACCACTGACACAATGTTTTTCCTTCAACCATTCATTCTTGACAAACAATTAGGACTGGCATAACTTTTCACAAAATAAAGCTAGCAATCACCTATCAGATCCATTCTGGGAGATAAGCTATCAACTCTACGTCAAATCCACTAGAACAACAGCAGTTAGTCAGCATTCACTAATAGGACCTATCTAGCTGCTGATTGAATAGCTTTTTCATAGAATGAATCAAGGTTTTGGGACAATAGAACTAGTGCAGCTGGGAGTGACGAGCAACCCTATTGATATGTAAATTGCTTCAAGTCTTTTGAAAGGAGTTTTTAATACTTTAGACCTAATTTGAAGTGTTTTTCGATAATGATTAGGAGTGCTTCTACCACTGTCTAGTTAATTGTATTATCTAGAAGTTTTCTTGGAAACAATTTGTAAACATTCTACCTTATATTGCATATATTTTGGATGTACAAGAAACTGGTCAGTATAATATGAATTATTAGCAACTGTGACACATTTGGTTCCATTCTATACTACAGAGCATATGTGTATATCAGTTTTTACCTATTATCCCACCTGATCAGTGTCCACATGTCATCAACCTCTAAAATATTTTTGTCAATTTATTTGTATACAAATATTATTCTCTGTCATTGTTCTCTGTATAAAAAACGCCATCCAATTTTTTAAATTTCAATTTGAATTCATTTTAACACCAAGGGCATTTGGGGGAAATGAGCTCTTTTCTTTTTACTGCTTATGTATGACTGCATATCTTCATGGCTCAGGTAACAAAGTAATGACAGATGTTCTGGTACTATTATAACAGGATTTACTAATTTGGCTAGTTTAGCCTTGAATAATATATTCTACTGTTACTGAGATATTAAGTAGTAAGATATAAGTTGAAATATTGCAAAATATTAATTAGATTTTTTTAACTCAAATAATGTAAATAGTTTATTTTTTATAGTTTTTTTATGATATATTCAACACTTTCTTATATTCAAAATGACCCAAAATCAGGTTGGCTCAGGAAAAGCCCAGTGCACCTGTCCTATATGTCATAAAAGCAGACATTATTAGCATGGCCGTCAATGTGTGTGTGTGTGTGTGTGTGTGGGTGCGTGCACATGTGTCCAAGGGGGGGGGCAAAGGTACCTCCAGTTCTATGCTGTGACAGAACAATTCAAATTATAATATTCCTTTGCATAATTAGTCATATAGAAAAAGTGATACACAGGCCTAATGAAGACCCACACTCTAGGTAAAATACATGTCCTTTTTTTTTCTAAAAGAAAAACAGTATAGTCTAAAATGTACATTTTGGGAAACATAAATGCAAGTTGTATAACAGAAATGCATATGGAAGATTTAATGAAAAGATAAAAAAGTTAAAATTCTTTCCATCCTTTCCGGAAACCTTCCCACTCTTCAATCCCCCTTCCTCAAATCTTCCTCCCTCCCACTCTTCTTACAGCAAACATGTTAACAGCAATTCTTTAATTCTAGCTGTGATTGGTATACAAACAAACTGCAACCCACATGGTTAAGTTTAGAAGCATTCCAGCTATCATGTTGCAGCCAGACTTGTTTTGACTGCATGGGTTGTCTATATATGGCAGCCACTCCAGCAGGCAACTTGCTGCTAGGGTTAAAATTGGCTTGACTTTCTGAAGCCAGGGCCGCCTGGTCCACGCCAGTACTCAGGGTAATTGCCACGAGGTATGAACATTGCATGAGTTCTAGATTAGTAAAGAGAAATCTTCCTAATACCAGAGAGAATATCTTCAACAGCCTTCTCCACTGTTCCCATTCTGACCTGTGCAGTACAGGACTTTTTTTTTGTTATTTGTGGTTTTCTTTTGTTCAAGATAGCTCACTATAAGTCATAAACAAGGAAATCAAGACCCTGGGCTTGTATCTAATAATATAATGCGGCTACCAGATATGTTTGATTTTCATGTAAACACCACAAATCCAGAATATAGAAATGTGTTTCTATCATTTTTAAACCTGGTGAAGCCAGTAGCAAAACCTTTCCATCTGAAAGTAAAAGTACCAGTACCAACACTAAGAATGAAATAAATTCTATAAAATCAATACTGCAGAGATTTTCAAAGACAGCAGCCTCATCAGTCTGTATTTTTGGGTTCGAGGTAACAACTATATATGGCTCTCTTTGAAATGTTAACCAAAAGAACAGAAATTTAAGACCTTACAAACTGCTTTAAATTTATCATTCATCAAGAAGCCCACCTTGGTGGCCTAATGGCAAAACGAGTATATTAAGACTATTAACCTATCTACTTTATGTAGCATGGAAAGTTTGGTTCAAATACAGGAAATGCTTCATCATAAAAAAAACCCAATGCATACGCTAAACACACAAACAAGCACACTTATATATATGCACGTATTGTACTCCATCAGGTCCATGCAGATTGCGAATCCCCATGTACCAGTGTGGTGTCCCGATAGTTCCACAGATTGGCCTCGATACATGGGCCACCTAAGATAACTGCTATTATTGTTTATATGCAAATCAGCTAGGTAGGTGACATGTGGCCCACAGGAAATACCAGTACACCAAAATAAACTCCATCACCTCTCATATCCTCAATGCACAATGCTACAGTTTTATTAAACTTTCTTATCAAATTCTCTCGTGTCCTCTGATCAAGTGTACTTTCTCTATCCTTTAATAAAGAATTAAATCATTTTCTCTTGGGAAGAAATTGTATGCTGGAGTATCTATAGCTGGCTTTGTGTTGCTCCCTCTGTATAGGAAATTGAGTCTCATAAAAAAATTAAATAAAATAACATAAAATAACAATCTCACTGAGATTTAAGACCGCACACAGACGGCATTGCCCAGTTTATGTTAAAATCACAAATTACAGTGGCATTAAGGAACACTGTTCCTATCAAGATCTAATCACAATCTCTAGTTAATGAAACATAGGGAGTTTTTTATTTAGGAGATATAAGCCCCTAGTTCAGATGTTCAATTAAACAATGGGCTTTTTATGCCTTTTTACTGATAAAATCAGAAATAATCCTTTCAAGAAAATTTTCTGACACCAGATCATGTTTTTTATTGTTGTGATTAAATAATGCAAAAAAGTGTTCTTCAATGTTCATGTGAGGGAGATCTGTTTGAAAAAGACATTACACTTTTCACACCAAAAACACTGATGCATCATCAGTTCGAGTTGGGA